TCCCAACGTACACTTTGACTACTTACGCTGCAAGGTTGCCTTTCTATAGGGTATCGGCGGGGGAAGTTGTATGAAGTTGTATGATACGCGAGGGAAAATTCTATCCTTCCGTCGCGAACGTGTATTTTTGTGCAAGCCGATGACTCCCGCCAGGACGTTGAGGACGTTTGCGCAAACTTCGCAGAGATTTATAAATGTACTCTGTGCATTTACGGGATTTAAAATGATCTTTAATTGATCTGATTTTACTACATCGTGGAAATATCGCGCAATAATATTGTGAAATAACAAGTGAAGCAATAATGTAATCGTGGGAATTTATGAAGTAATATTCAATCGAATTTCTCGCCGATTAAAAGATTTACTTCGTTGAAACGTAAAATATATACACGAACGATAAAGTACACGACGATCTGAATTTTCGAACGAAATGGACGGGACAACATCGTGAAACAATAACTGGATCAACGAGCTGGTCGAAATGTTTAAGTTTCGCCGGCGAACCGAGCGCTACGAATGATCAGCTATATTTGGTACATTTCCGCTTCGAGCATTTAATTTACATTCGTACAGACTGAAGAAAACTTCATTCAGTATGTTTCCATGGTATTTCCTTGTGTGCATGCGAAATGAAATTCGAACTGTTGCCGCGACTCGTGAAAAAAATTCATCGCGATCAAATCGTGGAGCTCGAAACGCTTGTAATCCGCCGCTTGTAAAAAATTTTTCTACCCCGGCCGTGAATATTTATCGTATTTTGCTGTTTCGCGTCGTCTAAATGAAATTATTCGAGCGAGCCAAGCTTGATACCGTGCTCGAACTAACGCTATCCACGCCCGTGACGAAGAAATCGTGAAATCGTGCGAGAAAGGTCTGATTAAGCTTTCTGGCACGGTGTGCGCGCGGATGGCCTCGTGCTTGTTTGTTACGTTCGATCGGAATTACGGGCCAGGCTGTAAAGCTGTCCGTTCGAAACTCCGGGTAGAGCGTATAATTTTATACGCGCGACGCGTCGCTCGCGAATATAATCCTTATTTATAGTCACGTCGCCGCTCTCTGGCATACACGCTGGAGATTTTCACCGCTCGCTCGTTCGCTCACGAGAGTTCCTTACACTGTATCCCGATGATTCTGCTGATTCTCGCAAGCCAGTTCTGACAGAAAAGGCGACAACCAATGAAAACTAGCCTCTCATGCACGCGCTTACGTGCCTTGTTGGCTAATAATTCAATCTAATTCAATCTAGCTCCGTGTCGCTCGAGTTTGTGGATTATTTCACTGGCAGGACGAAAGTGGCGAAGAAATATTGATAAACACCCTGCGCACGTTTTCAGTCACGTTCATTCCGATCATGAATTATTTATCGTCCGACGGATATTCATTCTAACGGATTAGTTGGTCATTTCCTCTCCCCCCCCCCCCCCCCCCCCCCCGCCATTTTGACACGGTGTCGCCTCAACCTCCCCCTGACGATACTTTATTTAGTTTCTTTTATTAAGTTTGTTAGTTGATGTTAATAGTAATATCAGTTACTTTACGGGCAGGCGGACCTTGGACCAAATTTTGATTGATTGGATAATTTTAATTAACGAATAGTGATCTTATGACTATTTTATAATTGCGAATAGATTTTTTTCTCGATATGATGCACGCGAAAAATAAAATGAGAAGAAAAATTTTAGACTCATTAAGGAATTTTCTCATTAAAAATTTTCATATTTTTTCGATTAATAGAAATATATTTTTCTAACCAATGTATCGTTTCGCTATGAAAGTTGTTTTAACATCCTGGTAAATAATACAGGTTGCATTGAACTGAAAAATACAGTTGCATTGATAAAAAAATACGCGCGGCTCTCAAAAAATTTTTGTTGGCCCAGAAAATTGAAAATATTGAAAATCATGCTCTAGGACAATGATGGCGAACCTATGACCCGCGGGTCAGACACTGACCCACGCAAGCTTTTGACAATGACTCACGCGTTGATTTTTATAAACTTATCATCGTATATATAAAAGAATTTTAATTATTTTTCGCACCTCTCTTTTCCAAAAATGTTAAGAAAATTACAAGTGTTCGGTTAGAACTTAAACGTGAGAAATAAATGCATAATTATGTTTTATGGAGAATTTACGATTTGGTTATGTATACATATAGGTATTTTAAGTCTTAAATGTTGTATGAGTTAGTTGTGTCTAAAAAATTTTATATAGCGCTTACGATTAAAGAGATGTAATAAACACTAAAAAACACACTAGATCCCATTCTCAGAATGGGTAGCTTTGCTAGTTTTTTATATAATAAAAGAGAGAACAGACAATAAAAAATATTAAGAAATAGTATAGTATATATATATATCTAATGTATAGTGCAGGGGTGACTGGGCATGATGTCACTCCTTTTATATGAATTTTTTCACGTCGACATTTATTTTTTGCTCTTCACTTGCAAAAGTAAAAGTTGTAAAACAAAAAGGAAACGTAAACTTTTTGGAGGATTATAAAAGAGAGCCAAAAAAAAAAGAGTAGTTTTTAACCATCCTCCCCTCTCCCTTTTCAAGAGACGCCACTGACTTAGTAACCCACGAGCTAGTACTAAAGAAAAAATAATGAACAAAATTTGACCTACTTCTCTCAAAAAGGTTCGCCGTCACTGCTTTAGGAGAAAGTAACAGAATGTCAAGAATCTCATCAGTTACACGTTATAATCACCGGTATTAACAAAATGGTGCAACGATATTATATACGTGTCAGCCATTTCTCGGATATTGAATTGTACGATCGAAGACGAGAGATTGTGTAATTCAGTGCCACGATAATTAATAATAAAAGTGATTACTGCCTTGGCCCGCCCAGGATCTCGCAGGCCTCGTAAATTCGAGCAATGCAACGCTTATGAGGGGTTGTAATATAAATTGTTATTGCTGCGAATTTCGGCCGGTTGTGCATCATCGAGGGATATTTCATTATTCGTACTCGAGTCGTTCGATAACGCCTGTACTGATGAATGGGGGATTCGACTTGAGGCAGTGGAATGGCCCATTCATAGTCAGCCATACGGAATGCAGCCTCGCTGAGCGGAAGGAGCCGGAAATGCTCGTTCGAATTTGCGGTCCGTGGCTGCCGTCTATTTATCTTGGCCACGAATTACGGTCAAAATATCTCAAAAATGTGGAAATTAATTATTCGACGAGCTCATGGTACAAAGAGCAATTCCAGAGGGTGGGAAAGGGAAGATGGTCGAGTCACGCTGGCTGGAAGACAATGATGAACGACGACAGAATGTATCTCGAAGCGTCACCGACGCTCTCTCTAACGGGCATCGCAAAAATTCATTCCGACTGCGAGTCCGAAAGTATTTCTCGTTTAATCGGGCAAGTACAAAAGTAGGAATTGGCAATTCGAGATTGATTTCCTTAGAGGCGTGTTTTTATGCTAGCGCGAGAGGGAAGTATATCAAATATTGGAAATTCGTGTCTGATCGTGGCGACACGTTTCGTCGACGTGGCAAAGAAAAAAANAAAAAAAGAAAAGAGAAAGAAAAAAGAGTCCATCCAACGTTCGCTGGATCTATTCAATCCTACGTTTCCCTACGCTCCGTACTATGGTTTCCGTATCGCGTCGTTAGCGCCAATCATTAGTATTCTCCCGTCAGTATCGTGAAACTTTCCGCAGCCTCGTCCAAAATTCTACGCGTTCTAATTACAAATTAATTGGAACGCAGCCTCGTCGAGCGGCGTACGTTTCGATGAAATTTTAATCCAAACGTACGTAGCACGAGCTCGCGTGTACTCGCAGTTTTTCTACAAGGCGAACACACGGAGCAAGAAAAATTCTGCGCGGGTCGTCTGGCCAGAGACTTTGAATTATTTGGTCGCCGGAAGGGAATTCTTTCGGTTACGATCGCCGAATGAATCAGCTGGTACACGTACAGCGTGTACAGGTATTTCGAGGGGATTTTCAGCACGGCTACTCAACGAAATATCCAGTCGGCGTGGCATTCACCACGCGGTGGTTATATACGAATACGTGTACGCGCGCGCGGCACTGGCTATGTATGTGTGTACATATCATGGTAAATGCAGCTACTGCATACGCCGGAGAACACAGACCTCTTATGAAACCCATCCGTTCTTCTCTAAATATTTGGGCATTTTCATAAGGGGAGTTTCTACTAAGCCGGCGCGCCATGACAAACGCGTGCTTCTTCGGTTAACCCGCGGCTACGTACGTGACTTCCGCGAGAGCGGTCGTGTAACACGCCTATAAAGCGCAAACACCGTCGGTGTGCGCTTCCGGTTCGAGTGTGCGGTCACGAGTTGGGACACGTGCAATTTACGCTGGCCTCTCTCTCCCTATCGGCTCCGTGCCATTTCGTCGCGGCGAATTATACGAATTAAATGGAAATGAACCGATCCCTCGAAACAAAAAACAATTGCCACTCTCTCTCTCTCTCTTTCTCTATTTCTCTTTTTCTCTCTCTCTCTCTCTCTCGTTGTTTAGCCCTCCTACATCAGAATCGATGGGTGTCGTGTTTTCCGTGTTATTGCAGAAATGTTTTCGCGCCAGTTCGTACTTTCGGAAAAAGAGAGTTTTTTCTCCTCTCTCCCATCCCCTCTCTCTCTCTCCTCCCCTATTCTCACCCTCAGTGCAGTTCGTCCATCTTTTTCAGGAGTGTGCAGAGCGCACGGGGAAGCTTTGTCTCGACGCTGGTAGAAATTTAATTTGCACGCGTGCGTGCGTCCCATTTTTTCCCCCCTCTTCGTTTACTTTTTGCTTCTCGCGAAATTCATGGCATTCTGTGTTTTTTGTCGAAAGCGAAATTTTGTTGTAGATGTCTTTCGCGTACTCGGTTTTTCTTTCTTCCTCTCTGTTCTTTTTTTCTTTTTTTCTTTTTGTTTCGTTTCGGAAATTACAGCTGTGGCGAAAATTTTCCTGCAGCTGGCCGAATTCGATAAGAGTAAAGGAAATACAGTGTAATTTTGAAGTTTGTCGCTTACCGACTTTAATTGGACGTGAGATGCCATGGATCCCTGGAGCTGCTATCAACAAACCGACGACGATGACGGCAGCACATCTTGAGTCCACGTTGAGAGCCATTGCGCGATCTAGAAAAAACATGACGAGTGATTAACTAGTAAATTAATTAGACGTAGCACCATTTTTCTCCCAGTAATCTGACATTTTGCAGAAACATTCCGTCAGTTGACAGGTCAGGTTCGTCTGATTCAACGAAAAATACAAGAATATCAAGCAAGGAATGATCTACGAAACAATTGAGGTTTCAGAAGTTGATGGCCGTCTTCGGCACATTAAGTAGTATAACCCTTCGTATCTCAGACCAATATATCCATTTTCCATCCAGCGCTTTTTGATTAATTTTTTCAAAATAAACCACGTGCCAAACACAAGCATAAAAGCAACATGTTGCACAAATTTAAGATTCTCATCTACATTAAAAATAAAATTGTTTTCCCCTGATTTTAAGAGACTCGGCTCGGCGAAGAAGTTTAAATCTCAGTTTCCCCTCGTCGTTTCCGAGTCGATCCATAAAATCGGCAATTTCACAGACGAGCACAGAGGCGAGGAGATGGACTCGTTGGACGACACGAGCGCGACATTTCACGATTTCGAGGATTTTTCTGATTTCCCGAATTTAAGAGGCATCGAGCACTTGTCACGTACGCTTTGCGCTCGACCTCGAGTGAGATCGGCGCGCACTCCCGCGCGATTTATCTGGCATCAATCGCCCCGTATAAAAAACGCCTTTGATCGCCCGGAATGATTGCCAAGTATTTCGGGCAAATACGTGACCACACGGCTGCCCTCGTTCGCCTCGCTTTTTACCTCGTGATTCACTTCCTTCCTCCCAGGATTTAACGCGCAGCTTTGACATCGCTCGACACGTTTCCGCTAACTCTTTGCCGATCGCTTTCCGTCAGGCACACCACTAATTTCATCGCGAAATCTCTTAATCCAGGCATGTTCGACCCACGACTCGTATTGCACAACCAAAATTAGAATCATTGAATAAGAATTTTGTTAGTTGAATTAATTTTAATCACGAATAATCGTATCTTTCTTTAAATCTAGTGTTACGAATAATTTCCAAGATTCAACGAAATATCTTTTATTTTAGACGGTTGGCATAGTTGCTATTTCATTCTCAGTTGATACCATCAATATATTGCACGCGAACACATGCGCTGGAATTGAGTTGCGATCAGACATACAGCTCGAAGAGAAATTTATCCAACTGTCTTTATTAGACTTTAATAAACTATGTCCGCCTAAAGAAAAATATTCAACATTTCGCAAACATGTTCGTGTGCTGTTCATAATGTCCCTTTTGGGAAATATTTGTATTTGCAAAAAACAGATCGTTTTTCCCATATGAAGCATACGAAAAATAAAATATGAAGAAAAATATTCTGAAAAATATTCTTCGTACTAAAACTACACGTAGATATTAATGAACTGGTATCTAGATAACAAGCTCAGTGTTCTCGTTAAAAATTTCCATATCATTTTCAATTGATATAAATATATTTCTCTAAATCAATTAATGTATCATTTTGCTATAAAAATTGTTTAAATATCCTCGTAAATAATATAGGTCACTGATAAGAAAATGTATAAATCACGGCCTTCGATCAAATTTTTGTTGGCCAATGAGGTCCAGAAGATCTAAAAATCGTGTCTTGATCGTTCTTGAGAATTATCTTCGTTCGTCTCCGAACATCAACCGTTCCTCGCAGACAAAGTTAATTTGAATATTCGAATCATTTCTGCGATCGAATATTCATATCTCGCGATCGAATACAAACTCTAAGACGAACGGGTTGAAGGTTTTGAGGATTTGAGGTCCGAGAGATCGCAAACGGAAGTGGCTAGAATTACGGCACGGTGTAAATTTGAATATTAATTGAGCGAAAATTCCACGGAAGAGCGGAGGACTGGCCAATGGTTTAACGGTTGCGACGTTAACCTCTAAAAATAACAAATCGCATCGCGGCGATGTACTCGTGGGTGGAATCTGCTCGCTCGCGTTCACATAACGTGTTCACGGACGTAGCACGGAAACGCGTTCCGTCCGACGAGTCTGAATGGAAACGGAGGCAATTCATATTCGTAATGCGCGCCAACCGGATAGATCCGACAGCGTTTCACGCGACTTTTAATTAAGCAATGAAATTCACGATTGAAAAGCTTGGCGGAAGTGGAGATCGAGGCTCGGAGTATACTTGCAAGTAAGTCGCGCGTATTGAACGAACGCAATTGTAGAAATAGGCCGCGATCATGCGGCGTATGGAAGGTCTTTCGATCGATTAAAAATTTATCAGGACCGGGAACGGTTGAATACGAAACTGCCCACGCTCTTTCAATATTTTCCGACCTATTATTCTCCGTATTATTATATTCGTATATACTTAGATTATGTTTGCGTTGTTTCCACTTGCGTTAGTAACTCGTGTTTCTTCAACCCTTTACGGAAAGGGTTAAAGAAACGTGTAACTTTCAAGTCACGTGTATTAACATAGCGATATTCAAATAATTTAATTGTAAATTTTAAAATTTAATTTAATTTTTTAACCTTTAATTTATTTTAATTTTCTTAATTTTTAACTTTTTAATTTAATTTAATATTAAATAATTTAATTCTTTAGCCACGAGATGGTGTATACATCAAGATAAATGATTTTGCCAGTTGTCTTCAGAAGCTAAAGGAACCATCTTGTGCAATTGTCATTATTTTCTTCTTCTATGAATGTTTGTTAAACCAAAAAAAGCGTACTTAATAGCTTTACTCTTGCTTTGTACATCAATAATATCTTATTTGTTTGCATTTCAACCATCATTTTGTTACTATTTTCATCACACTTTCAAGTCACAATAAACTATATAATGGTGGGGTTCAGTGAATTTGCGATAACGTTTATGTTTTCTTTGCTTTTTAGTTTTGTACGTCAGAGGCCTAAAATATGAGTACGAAAATAAAGAAGCAATGAGAATAAGAAGCATTAGCGGTGACAAATGTTAAACTTTCCACCGGAAAGTCTTTCTTCGAAAGACTGCAATTTTAGAGATTTCGAAATATTTTTGAATCTATTTGTCTGTTGGGAAATTAGTTTCAAACGTTACAATCGCGCGTGCAAAAAGGGTATTCATGCAGGAGACGCGTTACAGTTTCCATTGTTGATGATTGAAAGCCAGTCGAAAACAAGTTCCACGCCCTCATCGAAAGTTAAATGAACCAACTTCGTCAAAATTTTATTTTCCTCGGGAAAATCCTGCGTTCCTACGTCCCGATGAAAGCTGTAACGCAATATGTGCTCGAACATTTAGTAAAAAAAAAAACCACTTTAGTTTGAAACGCGCCGGACTTCTCGATTTATTGCGATTTATTTCCGAATTTATTTGCGATTACCAACTTAGTCACTTACCAGTAAAATTTTGTAAAATACAAAACGAGTATAGAGTGACTTTGTTATAATAATTCGTAGTTTTGACGTATTTATTACTACTATTACTTACTTTCTATTATTAATTAATGTTAAAAGTCATAATTTTAAAATAAAATTCTAATATTATATAAATAAATTTATAATTTATCCCACAAATTTTTTATACAATAAAATTCATTAAATATCATTACATATAAATTAAATTTATTTAAAAAAAAAATTCGACAAACATTTATTACTACAAGTTAAAATTAAAATAAGGTACAAGGAAAGAGAAGAAAAAGGAAGGAACGCTGCGCGAGCATGATTGAAGCGGGACAGAAGAAACTCCCTAGAATAGATCCAAGGAAATCCGCCATTGGCTAAACATAACCTATAAATGTAAATATATGCATGTTGATACTAATATCAGACGTTTCGAGTATAAACTACAAATAGATTGTGGCAGAAAGTAATCGCCAATCATTCACGTTTCCAGATCTATTCTGCCCAGATTTCCAGAACGAATCCCTTTCGGGAACAGAAGGAGCTATTTATTTAGGTGAAAAGTTGGCCGTTCGCGGCGGCGGGAAATACGGACGAATTGATTGAGCCCGTTGCGAAAGAAGGTCAAGCTGAAGAAAGCTCGACAGGGGTGCGATTTTTATCGGAGACGCCACCCTTGGCCGCCCTTTTGCCTCGTTGAAAATCTGTGTCAACCTTCATTAAAGTCGCCTCGGTTCCGTCGAGGGGGAGCGGTTGGCATCTGTAATGATCCGCGGACCGGTGAAATTCATTCAATTGACACTCTCGAGTCGCTCGCTTCCTCTTGGCTCGTTGCAACGGCCCTCCGGCCGCGTTAAATACGTCGACTGACTGTCTCCGCCTTATCGCAACGATGGCACCGGCTATTTGTTCTCGAATGGTTAGATTCTCGCTCGCGTCTGTTGTCGACGATGGCTGAATTTGAATGGTGTATTCGTAGCGGATGACGAGACGATACAAGTATCGATGATCTTGCGTGTAATTTTGGAGGACGGCTGGATCAGAAATTTTGGAGGAAATTTAGGCGTAGATCAGAGTATACATTGGATACAGAAAGCTGATATCGAGAATTATGGAATTGAAATGAATGTTTAGAAGACTCTGCGATGGAGTTAGAAAATTGAGAGAGTCAAGCTGTCTTTGCTTGTTTCTGCTTTGTGAAGAATTTGTAATTTCTCTTCGAAGGTAGGACGATAGAGAAAAAGGGGGGGGGGGATGAGTAATAATAATTTTTGACAATAGCTGCAAGAGACGCTGCAATTGCGGCAACATTTCACGTAATTCATAATTGCTACTAGCCAAGCTGTTGAAAAACCACGTTTGAGTATCGTTTTTATAAATTTCTTTTCCCCAGTGATATAGCACGTACTACAAAAGGAGAGCGCTTTGTGTTAAATTAATTTTCTTAAATTACGACAAAAAAAAAAAAAAAAAAAAAAAAAGAAAGGAACCTTCATTCGCAGCAATCTCATACGTTTCTTTTTTTCGCCTCCGGGCGTATATCAAGTTGAAGGATTACAGTAGATTAAAATTTTATTAATTTAACATTCGCGGGTGATATTTCCAAAGGGGCCATTCGGCAATCCCGTCCTATTATCGAAACAATAAAAAAAGTTCGT